GAAAAGCCTTAGAAAGGAAGGGTGTCCGAATTGCCTATATTAGAGCTGACAAGATATGTATGAGGGGAAAATAACTAGTATAAGAACATCTGGTGGTGAAACAAAGGACTTTCGTATAAGGATTGAAACTATCAGGATGATCTTTGAGCCTTTATTTGTTTGGCTTGGTTTTAGAGTTTTGACTGAGCATATTCAAGAGAAAATCCCCAAATGCAAGCAATTTGCAAATGATATAATTCTATTGTGGAGATAAGAGAAGAGATTAACTATAAACTTTAGTTATAGAGGAAGACATTGGAGTTAAAAGGTTTTCGCCTGAGTAAATAAGACGAAATATTTGTATCGTAATTTTTATAAGAGGTTAGTTAGTAGTAATTTGGAAGTGAAACTAGGAGATCAAATTATACCTCAAGTGAAAAAGTTTAGATATCTAGAAGCTATTATTCAGCATGATGGGGAAATTGATGAGGATATTGCACATAAGATACAAATTAGGTGATTTAATTGGAAAAAAGCTAAAAGAATATTTGCAATTGTGAGGTACCAAATAAATTTAAAAGAGTTTTATCGAACTGATATAAAACCAGCAATGTTACATGATAGCAAATGTTGGGTTTTAACGAGACAGCAAGAACATAAAGTTGGAATAGCAAAATGAAATGTTGAGATAGATGGACGAATATACACATAAAGATAAAATTTGAAATGAGCACGTACGAAAAAAAGTGGGTGTAGCACCTATTGAGAGAAAAATGGTAGAAAACCGTTTGATATGATTTGGACATGTACAAAGAAGGCTGTAGAAGCCAGAGGCACCCATGCGAAAAGTAGAATAGAAAATTGAGCCCTATTAGAAGGGTAGAGAATGGCAAAAGAAAACATTTTTGTAAGTTGTTGACCGAGACCTCTTAGTTAACAACATTTCTAAATACTTGTAAAAATAGAACACAATGGAGTCATGTATCTATATAGCCAATCCTACCTAATGGAATAAAGGTGGTTGTTGTTGTTGTTGTTGATGATGACAATGACAACCAATTATTCTAGAAACTGAACTAAAGGTCAAAGGTTGCCGTTTCAATAAGATTAAGTAGGTGCCAAGTGATGAACATGAAGCATACATTGATCATATTTCACAATCTAAAGAGGTAAACTAGTAATCCTTGTAAAATTTTAAAAACAGTTCCCAGAATCTCAATGTCTTGTCATTCTTATCATCATAAAGTTCTCTCGTTTACGCAGGACATAATGGATTAGCAACAACGATTACCTCAAACATTTTATGATCCATTTTTTAATAGCCATGCACCATTAGACCTATGACAGAAACTTATACTATATCCTCATGCCAAAAATATTTTTAATACCATATCCAAATATTCTGCTTCTCATGCCAAATATACAGGACATTTAATACTATATCCAAGACAAATCTTATTCATTGAAAAAACAATGCAGATCAGGATCAGAAGTAATCCACAAAAAATAAAATTATACAAATTAATATTGGATCAAAGAAAAGCATATGCTATCCAAGTTTTCAATAGATTCACGCATCTCAGCAACCTTGGTCCAATAAGTGTTTTTAAAATGCTCTTTTGCTCAAAAAAAAAAAAAGGTGTTTTCAAATGCTCTGGAAAATAGAAACTTATCTAGAGTAAGGCAATCTGAACATATCCTAATTGAAGAAATTAATCTTTGATTCAGTAGATTATATTCTCATTTCGCACCATCGTTTCCTATGCATGAACTAAAACAACTTCAACTCTAGAAAGCAAGGGAAAAAAAAATCATAATAAGGCGAATAAGATACAAGAAGACGCGTTTTTGCCAGTAACTCAAATCATGCCTTCACCTTCCTAGACAGGTACCAATAATTTGTTTTTCCACAGGGCCAGCAAGCTTAAGCTAGCGTAGATCAATCAGTCACAAATTTAATGCAACTCAGCTGAGCTAAAAGGACATAATTTTGCGAACCAGAGTCAAGATATCTAGAAATTTTCCGCATCAATACATTAAGTCTCTAACCCAGCTTTGTTGTAAATCCTGAAAAACTTTTTTCCACTCATTCAGGTTGACATCAATCGAAATTCTGTCGCCGCAGATTATACAAGTACCACCAATACAGAATCCAACCACAATATAACAAACACCAATCAAATTCTGGGTCTCTGTCAATAACATAGCTAACTTTCCAGATGATTTCACAGCTAAGATCTAATGTCCGGGAGGTACCTTAATGAATGAGCGTTGGCGAAATTTGGCGTTGTCATACTCGACATCTTTATTCGTGTAGGGCAGTCTCTTCGACATGCTCGATCCGATCCTGAGCTGGGCTCGGCTTCAGTGATTCAACGAATCAAACCTGAAGCTTTCGGAATTGGATCGAAACCTGAAGGGGAGTTGGAGGGTGAATCCAACGAGAAAGTGAAAAGAATTGTGGGCGGAGAATTCGATCGTGCAGAATGCTACAGAGCATTGACAGGCCGGGAAGAATAAGTGTGTAAGAGAAAATTTTGTCCTCTGGGTTCGTTGCCGCGAAGAAATGCAAGGGACGACTTTGAAGACTAAACGCGTCTTATGATTCTCTCTTGAAATTATTGATTAGATCGACACTCATAGATTTGACTCCATTACCATTGTTCCATTACAACGGTGAGTAACATTAACTTGACTAATTAACCATATTTTTACTTATTAAATGTTTATTAATTATTAGTACTATAGTTTGCCCCTGCTAATAAATAGCTTGAATTTCTAGCTGTTAATTTTTAATGGCATACCTTTTCAATATTAATACGAAAAACAGCTTTAATTGAAATATTCATCCATAAAAACCTTTACAAAATTAGTAAGTTATAAACATTGCTATTTATTTCAAATTTCATGAGAACCGCATGCATCCCTTTCATTAACATTATGAATTGTCAAAAAAAAAAAAATATTGGAATAACTTCCGTGCGATCCAAAATAATTGTGAGCTAGCTTCAACCATAGTTTGAAGATTTGTTGGTATTTGGGGCAACACACTTCTAGCCTTTATCCCTCCTTTGCTAAATTTAGTTTTCAATTCAGATTTTTGCTAGACTCTATTTCTTATGTAGCTATATCTTGCATAGGTATGTCTAGTCTAGCATAAATTACGAAAACAATGTCTTCCAGCGATTGATTGATAACAAACCAAAAATCATAAAATAAATAAATAAAACACATTGAACCATGAGCAACATGCTAATCATTGTCACCCTAAGTTAAAGTAACACATTGGTCGACCCAAAAAAAAAACAAACGGGCCAAGTGAGCTTTTCAATTTGAGGCCGGAATCGAATTTAAAGTTTTTAGGCCTTTTCATAACTTCAAGAAAGGCCCAAAGGCTTAAATTTAGCTCATCACAAATATTTTTCTTCTCTCGGTTTGCGTTCGGCTTATTGGTTCTGAACATTTGTTTTGGTGTTTTGAAGTGTGCAGCATTGGACAAGCTAAACGCTTGATATATCAGGCATATATATGGCCAAGCTTGTAACCCAGGTCTTCTTTTATCTCTCTATAAACATTTGATACAAATTAATCGTATTTATAAGGTATTGAAACCTGAACTCATCACTCAATTGATTGAAATAGTAGTTTAAAGGTAAGTAGTGGTTGAAATTGGGGTTAAATCAAGGTCAATCTGATTATATATTTTTTTATTAAAATCTAATTGTATTTTTTAATTCAAAAACAATGTCATTTTAAGTTTAGTAAAATGAGGGGGGGGGAAAACATAAAATCTAACCCTTTATTTGTTCAAAATTCTTGATCAGACTAGCCATGAGGTCAGCTCATCAATTTATTGACCCAACCAACCAAGCCAATTGAGTTTTAATACCATTTATATTATTAAGTGTCTTTGAATTAAATGTTTACTCTTGTATAAAAGGAATTTTAAGAATATTTTTATCTGCTTTTAGAAATTTAATATACAACACTATTTAGTTTTCATTAGGTTTCTTTTGCACTTCAATCTGAGCTTTTGCATCTCGAGGATCAAGTCCAAAATACCTGTACTTTTTGATGATACGTTTTTGCTACTTGCAAAGAAGTAGGTAAAGCAACACAATAAATAAAATTAATGCAATAAACAATTAACGCAAGGAGAGACTACGTATATACCTATACGTATATATGTACAATTACAACTAGTAAATCACACAGAGATATAAAACTACGTCTTTGGAATGCTAAGCGGAAGAGAAGAACGCTTGGAGTTCACAACAAGAACTTTGGATCTGCATCCCTGAAGATGGACTCTTCATGGCAGGTGGCGGATATTAGCTTGAATTTAGCAGCCAGATTTATATATTATGACCATTACGTTAATTTACATGCATGGATATATACAAAGCTTCCCTAGCTTCCCATGTTCAAAATAAGCAATATTCATCAAGATTTTTTGTTTAAAGCAGGAATTTCGACCTTTTCAAAGGAAACTAAGGAAGGTGGTTATGTTTGATTACTCAACAGTCAACACACAAGCTTCACATTAGTACATTTGCAAAGTCTAAACAATCGTTTACCTACAACTAACATGTTTGCGTGCTAACTTTTGTCTTGTAAACTAAAAACTGTTTGGATGTGCGTTGAAAAAGTAATTAATTTTATAACTTTTGAGGCAAAACTATTTTGACATGCTTGAAACCAACCGAGGCACTGAATGCGTTCATATGGTCTAATTTAGACATTTTATATAATAAAATTACCGTGTAATCTTCAAGTAATTTACCCAATTTGTGAAGTTTTTATAATCAATTTAAGTGTTTTCTTTTCAAATTTTAAAATATTTAAATCATATAGTGGGATTTACAAGCGAAAAAATAAACCTCAGATACCTCAAATCCATTTCAACTTTTTCTCTTTCAATTTTTCATTAACTCTTAATTTTCTCATTAGTTACGTTTTCATTTTTCTTAATAAACATTTGTATCTATTGACTGCCTCTTAAGCTAGCATGGAGCACCGTCCTACTTCTTTCCTTCCCTCTCGTCCGCCTCGCCGTCGAAAGCCGAAACAGAAAACGTCTTTGATAAGCCAGAGGGATTGGCGAACGTGAACTTACCGGCATCGTCGTTGTCGACGGAGATGTCGGCGATCCTGATCCAGATGAACAGCTCCTTCGTCTTCACTCCGGTCACCCGCCGCATTCGGTGCTCCTCCACGAATGCCGTCACCTCCGGTTCGTAGGAAACGACACGTCCGATGCGTTGGAACCGGTGCTCCTTCTTTCGGTTCTGCTTCAGCCACACGAACCCCGTGATGCGGTTGTGCCCCACCTCTACGATGTCGTCCAGGGGAAGCAACCCTGACGGGAGGCAGAATTCCCCGAGCAGTTCGCGCGATTTCTTCTTGCAGATGGCTTCGCCATGGTAAACCTCAGCTTCGTTTCTGTGACGTGCTATGTATAGGCTCGTCATTTTGAATAATTTTGATGCCGCAATTTCGATTTGAATATGTGATTTGAGTGTGGAAGTGAATGATTGAGGGGAAAGGGAAATGTTGATTGCGGAATTTCACCGAATTAGCCTTCGGGAATTTGGGAGGGAAATTTGCAAGGAGAAAGACATAAGGAAGAAGAGAAAATTTGGAGGGAGAACGTAAGTTTTTGGAAGGAGAAAAGCTAAGAATAGTGAATAGCGAAGCGAAGATTGCGAATTGGATAATATCTAACTCTGAAGTGATGACGCGAATACCGTGTGACTATTTTTGGAAAGTTAGTGATTATTATAGTAAAATCAAATTTACAAATGTTGCGAGATATGGCATGTTGATTTGCAAGTTATGTACAAGATGTTGAATCCAGGGAACTGGAGGGGTCAAGAAGAAAATCAAAGGTCGTGCAAATCATCAAGAGTACGTTGTGGTGGAAAATTTGGGAAATAAATGCTCCTTATACTTCCCAGATTTTCCCGTGGAGACTCACGAAGAATTCAATTCCTTTGAAACAGAGTTTGACCATCACTTGCAGGTAAACTTGGAAAGCTCACTTCAATCGAAGAATTATCTTTTTGGGAATGTACCTTTGCAAGCGCTTTACGTTGGTTTGACTGGTTATCTAAATTAACAGAGGAAGCCAGCTGCTTAGATGGGACTGGACAAAGGGCTAGGAGAGATTTTAGATTGCGTGATCATTGGGATTAGTATAATTCTACATTCCACATGTGATGGGGTATGCTTCAGGAATCATAGAATTTTCAGAAATGGTTTTTGTAGTACTATATAGTGAAATGAGTGCACTATACTTGATCAGGAGATTGTGTGCTCAAGGCGATCGAAGAGATAAGATTGAGCAAATCTGGGGACAAGAAAGTAAATGAGAGAGAACCAGTAAGATCATAATACATGTAACATTCTAAAAATTTTAAGACTCAAATTTATTTTAAAAATAAAATAAAATATTTATAATTAAATTAAAATTTAGAATAATTTGATAGAGGTTCAGAGTTTAAATTTTACTAAGCAAAAGTTTGGTTTTATTTGATTTTTAACTATGAAAAAAATTACCAAAGTTGACCTGGGCTTTTGTGCAATAATAAAAAATGTTGGGCCATTTAACTTTTTGACCAGCAATTTAAAGACCAAAACTGATGCAGAAACGCAGAAACTGAATTGGAAAGGAAAGGAAAGGAAACGTACGAGAGGGAGAGAGGAAGAAGAGAAGAGAAAGGGAGGGAGTTAGGCTTGGATCTAGGAGTCTTTGCGACTGTTGCGAGCTCGGCTACATGATAGGTAAACTCCCTACTTCAATCCTCTTCTCTTTCTCTTGATTTTCTTCAATTTTTGGAAGAGAAAATTTTTGGATTTTGATCCCAAAGGCTTTATTCTTGTAAGCTTTTGTTTCTTTGGATCCTAGGGAGCATGTTTTGAGTTTCTATATAGTGATATAATGTTTTGAGTGAATAATTGGATGAAAAGAGGTGTTTTGGGCACAAAATAAACCTTGAGAAATTGGGTTTTTGCTCCTCAATAGTTTAAGCTTATTGATTTAGTTATAATTTTGCTATTTGAGCCCAATAAGATTTAAATTAAGGTTTGGTTTTCATTATAAGGGCTAATGGTGAAAGTTGGTGGCACTAAGTAAAGGTTTTTAATTGATTAAAAAATTATATAAATTGAAAATTAGTCTAGTGATGGCTAATAAATGGTTTTGGTGGTTAAGTGACACTATATGAATGGTTGGTTTAATATATGGACCATTAGGGTGGATTATGACTCATTGACCTAAGTTGTGTGATATGAGTTATAGTCTTCATTAATGCTATTTGTCATGATAAATGATGTGGATCACTTATATGTTATAGGAAATTGTTGGTGGAACTTATTGAGAAGTAAGGAACAAGCCGAGCCCTATTTTGTACAAGGAGAACCCTTTTGGTACCAAAGGGTTGAGGTAACAGGGGAATTTATATTTCTTATTACTTTGTTTTAGCTATTTTTGAATAAATATTACTAGTTATCATGCATTACATGTTTTAAAAGATTAAATGTGCTTTATAAGGGGTTATGGGGTACTACTTTGATTATAGTGCAAATATGTTTTCTAATTATTTAATAACAATGTTTTTGTGGAAATGAGATTTATAAATATTATACTACTTTAGAGTGTTGAATGGTCAATACTCAAGAAAGATAGATAAGAGTAAAAGGCATGATCTCGGTGGGAGTTCACCAATGAGAAGGTGTGTATTTTTGATATTCTATGGCACATTGTCAGTACTCAGTGTTGTCTTACGTATTGTGGGCTCAGTGTACTAAAGTGGTTAGTGCATTGAATGTTCGACACCTCTCAGTGGGGGAGGGAATCCGACATATAAAGTGTGAGGTTGAGTGCCTAGGCCAAGGTAGCCCTCACATAGAAAGTAAGTTGGGCTGGCTCTGGGAGGGAGTTAGCTTCAACTGCTTAGGATTCACATCGAAGGGGCACAGGAGGTTCGGTGTATTAGATCATGCCTTAGATTATGTTTTGTGCCTGTGGAGGTACAAGTAGGTATAAGGTTTACCTGCGAGTTAAAGAGTGCCAGGGGGCATTCTGTTGGTCATGAAAGGCCATACCGGCCTAGGTCATGCATTCATGCATTTTAAATGGCTAAATTATATACTATGTTGAATTTATTATTCATTTATTTGATTATGGCTTACTTTGTAATAATCAATGTAGATTTCACTGTTACTGAGACTGTGGTTGTCTCACCCCTTTCTTTTCAATATTCTAGGTCCAGGCAAAGGATCCAGTGGTGGACAGGGAAAGGAGCAAAGTTAGGGATTTGCTTGTGATTTGTAAAGAACTGCAACCCCTTTCTTTTGAGCAAATATATTGTAATGTATTTAAAATTAGGGTGCTAGTAGGATATGATTGTGTGTGTGTGTGTGTGAATATGTGTGGATTGTGTGCTTGTGTATGAATTTTTGTCTGTTTGCAGACTTGTGGCTAGGAAACTTAGTTATGGTGTGTGGTTTTGATGGATTTACTTAGTAGACTAAGTTTCTATTACAAGCAGATCTTTATTTTGATATATATGTGATTTTATAAGCAAATGCAAAGTGGTTGCATTGTAAATGGTGTGCTATGGGCAAACATACAGCTTGGATAGAAAGAGTGGGTGCGTGGGCCCCATAAAGAGCTCTGAGCAAAGTGAAAATGTTTAGCATATGTATTTATATAAATACATGGTATTTGGATTGATTTGTGACCACTCTTGTATGATTTGTGCATTTTGGGGGTTTAGGGTCCATTTTGGGAAATGGCACCCGGGTGGTCAAAATTTGATGTATGGGATTTTTCTATCATTTGAATGTTCTATCAGGTGTTTTTAATCTTATTTGACGTGTCCAAAGTGTTCCCACAGATTTGTGACCATTAGGATGAGATTTGGATAATTTTGAAAATGGTTTTTACCAAAAAGCTGCACTTTTGCATCTAGGTGTCCAAATCTTAATCCGACCGTTGGATTTCTCTAAAATTTGGGTCACAAGTAAAACCTTTTATAAGCTTCGTGTGGGCTTTGGAATCACGTCGTTCGGATATCGAACGGAGAAACGACGCACTTCAGAATTTGGTCTGGATGTGCTATCATGACAGCATTAAATTGCTGTCATGACAGCTACAGTGTTGATGTTGTAACCTACATAAAATTCAATCCGTCCGTTGGATTTTTTCAAAATTTAGTATGCTAATAGTACTCTTTAAAAGTGACATGTGGAATTTGGAATCGCTCCGATCGGAGGTCAAATGATGAAATGGTGCACCCCGGAAGTTAGTCCGGAGGTGCTGTCATGACAGCAAAAGTAGTCAATATTTTAACATGTCTAATTTTTAATCTGACCGTTGGATCTTTTTGAAATTTGATACACTTATACTACTCTTTGAATGTGATGTGTGAGCTTTAAAATTACTTAGATCGGAGGTCGAATGACGGAACGGCGCCTCCTGGAATTTGGCCCAGGAGGGCTATCATGACAGCAATAAATTACTGTCATGACAGTATCTTTTTATTCCATTTTCGTCTAGCTTGCTTCCGTGCGCTATAGGTAGAACCTATAATTATTTTTAAGGTTTTAAATGATTTATTTTTTAAGTTGATTAGAGGATCGACTCCTTAACCACACTTAGTTTGTTTGAATTATGTGATTTTTGGATAACACTTGAGGCAAGTGTTACAACACAATCAAGAAACTCCCCCCAACAAGTGGATATAGCAGATATGGGTCAAGATGACAGTGTGACGAGGAAGTAGTTTTAGTAGGAGTCATGTAAAATTCAAGATAAAATCTGGCCTTTTGAAATGGTGATGATCATGAAATTGGGGGATGGGGGTGCGTGTTTGTTTTGGTGTTTGCATGCATTTCAATGCGCGCTAAAAGTAGAAGCTATTGTTAAATTCTTGCCGAGAAATATGTGTTGGTGGATTGAAGTTTAAATGCAGAATAATCATGGTCAGACAAGCAATCAACTTTCATCGAAAAGCAGCGGATAATACTGAATCATTTTCAGCACCCATTAACAGCGGATCCTTTGAAAATTATCCATTAGTACTATTTATAAAATAGAGAGAAAATATTTATTTTAATTTTATTTATAGAGTATTTTAATTATTATTATGTCTATCTTTATTTTTTTGCCCCATGTTAGAAAGGTCATTAAATGTTAAATTATTTTATTTGTGGAGTAAATATTTAATAAGGATAAAATTAAAAACTTATTAAATTTCAAGATAGAATTAATGAGATTTAAAGTTATCTTTAGTTTCAGTGAAAATGTAAAAAGTGACTTATAAATAAGATAAGAAGAAATATTTATGTGAGTATGCTTCAATAACTTGATCTGTGCTTGGTAACATCACCTAGCCAATAATTTAATGTAATATTTTTGTAGTTGGTAAGTAATGGTTGAATGTAAGTTTTTTTTGTTTAATAGAATGCTGTAGATTGCTTGCTATGCTTGATGATTATAATTTATTAAAGAAAACGACATGAAGTGATCAAACAATATTATTGTTATTAAAAATTCAAGACGAATGTTAGAGAAAAATAAAATAGAACCAAACCACTAATATATATTATAGAGAAATTAAAAAAACATTAAGGAGGCCATTTTGGGAGCGATTGGTTGATATTGATACTTCATTGGTCCAGACAAAATCAAAGGAGGAAAAGTAATGTAACAAAAAAAAAATAGAAAAATTATTATGAGAAACAAATCATTTTCATATTTTCAATTAATAATAGAATATATTTTTTGGTAGATTTCCCAAAAGACCTTTTTGGATGTTTCTATATTTTCCAGACTTCGATAATAAAATAAAAATCACCAGACATTTAAATTAATTGGTTAAGAGGTTGATTTAGCTCCAAGGACACTGGAGCAAAAATTAAAAAAAAATCATATAATTTACTATTATTTATTTTAAAGGGAGATATGCAAAACTTTCCCATGTTTCCTTTGTTGTTTTTAGATTGTGTTTCACTTGGAGGCTTTCGTAGATATAGTTCATATTATATAATTAAACCAACTAAACAGTTTAATATTTAATCAATTAAACAGTTTAATATTTATTATATTTTGTATTATAATTTATTATTATATTTGTCAATGACATATAATTATAAATTAATGATAAATCCTTATAAGTTTTCAAATTTTTAATAATAAATTATTTATATATTAATAATAAATTTTTTTTATATTAATATAAACTGGCCATGTTTTTAAATCTTCAAAAATTTGATACATATTTTTTGGATATAGTGTTTTTTTTTGGACCAATGGCTAATTTGTCCGTTTAATTTATTTCTCTTGGGCTTTTGAGCCCATATTTGTACCAAAAATAGAGAGAAACAAAAACCATGTAAAGGGTTTTAGTAAAATTTCAAGTGATATATTGCTTTAAACTTTTTAAATCATCGGTTGTAGTTTTGCAAATTACATTTTTTTTTGAATTTATCCAAAGATAAAGCTAATAAAAAAAATGAAAAATCAATGATAGTTGAATTAAGTAAAAAGAGAATATCTCTTCAATATGATTGAAAATTTTAGCTTTTTTTAAAAAAAACTAAAGTATATTTTTAGTCCTCTATTTTTATATAAAATTTTAATTTAATTCTTTAATTTTATAAAGTATCTTTTTAATTTTTTTAAATTTAACATTATTAGTTTTAAATGATTAGTTTTTGTGTTTATCATTGTTATTTTGAAAAAATTAAACTTAACATGTCAATATTTAAAAATTTAATATAAAAATTTGTTTAGATAAAACCAACAGTATTACAGTTAAAGAATTAAAAAGATACTTTATAAAATTAATAAATTAAAATAAAATATTATATAAAGTTAAATGACTCAATATATATTTTAGCCATAAAAAATTCATTTTAAGAGAGGTTTTTTTTTTTGTACCATCATATTAACCACTTTTTTATACTTATAAATTTAAGAACAAAAGAAGAAAAATGAACTAGAACTTTTGTTTAAGGGCACTTGGTGTTCTAATTTTTTTTCAAATAATTTTATTCTTGAACTTTTTAAAAGAAAGCACCTTAGCCTTCCAATTAAGCTAACAAATTGTTGACCCTTAAATCTTGCATTCGACTAACAACTTTATAGATGTTGCCTTCTCCTTCCTCTTGTTTCCTCCTCTCTCTCCTCATCTTGTTCAAAGTGATTGTTAGTCAAAGGCAAGGTTTAACGATCAATAACGATCAATGGGGAGTTCAAGTTAATGGTATAAAAAAATGTTTCATTTTTTAAAATTTTTAGAATAAAATTACTTCAATAAAAAATTTAAAATATCAGACATTTTTGGTAAAAAAAATTAGGCCATTTTTATTCTTTTATCCTAAATTTAATAAAACAAAGTATATTGTTTTAAAATAGATCAATTTGATAAATCCATGAATATTCTTCCCTCACTTTATAGTAAAACCATCAAATAAAAAATGAATTGATATATATATATATATATATTTAAAAAAAAGGCAACGCCGAACTTTCATGCCAATCTCCAAAGCAATCCCCATAACTGCGGTCCAAGAAAAAAAATGCTGTTTATTTATATTTAATTAATAAAATAAATGCATTACAGCCATGAAGCATGGATCAACTAATTCTACCTTGCTTTATAACAAAACCATTAAATATTGAAAAAAAGGGATCCAGCAAAGAGAATCTAGAAAAGAGCGGTGAACACAAAAGTGCAAAAGACCAGAAAGTTCCTGCCAACCTGTCCCACGTTGTCAGCTTTAACAAATATTCTGAAATGAAAGAGTGATTCTTTCCCTCTTTCCCTTCCTTTCTTTCCCAAAACGTTAGTCTCCTTCGAATGAACTGTATAATTTAACGCTTTGCCAAAAGACAAAACCATAAGCGAGTCTTTCCAGAGAAATTGGCTACTTGTTTTTAATTTTACTTTTTGAGAGACTAATGAAGTGTGAATTTATTAGCGATTTAATCTCATGCTTTAGTTTACTCGTTCTGGGCTTTTGATCATCCCCACCTTACTGTAGTAAGGTAGTGAATGATGAAATCGTAACTAGAATTACTTGAGGTGTTTTTCTTCGTTTTCAGGTGTGGTTTCTGTATGATTGTAACTCTTCTTATTAATATATTATATTTAGAGTTGGTAAACGGGCGAGCCTAGCCCATATGGGCTTGGCCCTTATGGGCCTAGGCTCTAAAGCCCGATTATCCTAATTTTATCCTAAAATTGAAGGCCGACCCTTATTCATAGGGCTTAGGGCTGGGCTCGTAAGCCCGGATAAGAATAAAATAAAATAAAATAAAATTTAACATTAAAATTTATTTAGAATATTTTAAAATTTAACATATATCAAACCAAAAATCTCACATAATCTAAAAAATAAATAAAAAATTTAAAAGTTCAAATAAGATGAAGGCAAACATCATTATCAATCCTAATCAAAATCTCCTTCATTATCATTCATAAATAAAATATTAAAATCCTCCGATGTAGGTCCACTTGTGAAAGATGGAGGCGAAGATTCAATATTAATTATTTCTGCAACTCCATCATCATCACCTACAATAATTATTAATTAAATTGTTTTATTATCAAATATATATCTATACATATATCACAAGATAAAATATAAAAATTACTATAAAATGGTACAAAACAATTCAACCAATTGCTGGTACAAAATACAAATCAATGTTTGCACATTATTTGGAAAGAGATGAAAACAATACTTTGTGAATAGTAAACGGGCTTCGCGGGCCGCCCGAGCCCGAACCCCTTTTTTTAGAGCTTAAAAGAGCCGGGCTTCGAAGCCCGGTTACCCTAAAAAATATCAAATTTTTAAGCCCGAACCCTTATTAAAAAGGGCTTAAATGAGCGGCCCGTCAAACCCGACTCTTATTCTCGACTCTAATTATATCCATGTTTATTAAAAAAAAAAAAGAAAGAAGAAGAAGACAGGACCAATAATTAGGCTCTTTTGTTTGTTATTTCTTTCTCATCCTTCGCTTTTCTCTGTAGAAACAAATAACAATAATAACATAGCTATCCTGTAATTAACTTTTGGGTATCAATCGTGGGGATTCACCCCACATTGTGATTAGATAATTGTGGCACCCGCTGCCAGAGCTTCCATTAACAAACAACAAATCTGACACTGCTCTGTTGGTTTTCACAGCGCTGGACATTTTGGTGGCAGTGTTGGCCGCTTCAATGTGCTTCAGGTGGTGTCTGAATTCTATTGCCACCTGTTCAAAAACTTCAACCTCAAACATGTTCAACTTCATCTTGGGTTTCATGTTGTCTCTTACAAAAGCAAAGGCCAATTGGTCTCTTGGGTTAAATGCCTCAAGTTCGTTGAACATGAGGCAAGAGAATAGGTCACTGCTCAACCCATGCTTCCTCAGGATCAGAGCACTGTCTGGAACATCTGCCACAGGAGCAACAAGAGGAAATGTTTTTTCAACTTTGTTACAGTACAGATATGAGACATGCTATGACATAATGTGATGCAATCATTTTTTTTTCTCTAATCACTCAGGTTCAATTATTTTCAAAAATAATTTGGGATATGAAACTTTAAATGTGCCCGCAAACAGGAAAGAACATGGTGTGTGTTTTGAAGATGTGAAATGAGAAGCAATTAAAATTAAGCGTGATTTGGGGTTGTATTCTTAAGATTGCTTGAAAAAAGAGAGTAAAAAAAATTAAGGATATTCTAATTATGATAGCAAAAAATACGTAGTATTTTGAGGTGATCATGGCAAATGCAAGCATCAACATGACTCTGTTTTTATTCCAACTTCATAAAAAATTATTCCAAAGAAATATTTTGAGTCAAGATTTATGTTTCCTCTCTCAGCTATGATCATGTGAAAATTTGTTTAGTATTTATAAGGAAATTAAAGTATTATGTCATATTTGATAGGAAGGTCAAATATGCAATGGTCTTACTACTGTGTCAATGAAATATCGTAGCATGGTACAATTTTTATACGAAGAAGACACAATTAGTTTTCGGTGTCATATTTACTTTCCCTTTATTTGATAGAGACATGAGAAACCCTTGTGTGGGTGTCACGATTAAAAATAGGTGCACATGCAGAGGCAAATGGAACCAAACAAATGCAACTCTGGAAAAGGGGGGGTGGGGAAGGAACGTTGGCACCCCTAACGTGTTAAAAACTGTGCTACCGTGACTTGAATGTCAATACATATCCAAGGCCCTTTGGTTTAGGACCACACACTTCAGAGGTAGTGGCACAACTACTCTGGGACCATGAAATATGAACTATGCATTTATTGTGAGATTATCATTGAAATTTGATGCAATCCTTATTCCTACTTCAATTATAAATCTTCTTTTGATTCTCCCAAGCTCTTACAATGAAAAAAAAAAAGAAACCCCATGTATCACAGTTAGGAGTATGGCTCAATTCATATAGCCTTCATTGGCAAGCATTTTGAATAAGAGCAAGCCTATAGTGATGAACTTACCCTATGAATTAGACTTTACTTAGACGGGCCATCCCCAATGTAGACTTCCATTACTTTTATATACATTCTCAAAGGATGAATTAGGCTTTTTAAGTTTCTTAACACGATCATCTAATCATCTAGATACTTGGATTGAAACTCAGTTATTATTTAAATTAAGCATATCATGCAACAAGAAACTTCCAAAACCATACTAGTTGTAAAAGGGTATCTTAAACTTTTATTGAAAAATTTGATAATAAACATTAAAGAATTATACTTAATTTTATTCATAATTAATTCAGCTTACTTTTGGTTTATATGAGTGCTGAGATGTCTTCCAATTCTAGGAGAGTCTAAATCTCTCTCTCTCTCTCTCTCTCTCTCTCTTTGCGCTTAGCCTTGAATAAATAGGAAATGAAACTGAATCAAGTCTCTTGCACGCGCACTCATTGTATATAACAATATTTTAATGGAAAAAGAAGTAAAAAAAAAAAATATTCGGCATAACTAGTATAAGCACAAAGTTTGTAATTAAAATGCCAAAGGCGTACCTGAAGCATAAGGAAGCTTGCTTGGACTCCATGGCTGTAATCCATTTTCACAGTATGTCTCCATTTGCATCTTCAAGGCATAGACATCCCACCATTTCTTCCACCTCGCAGTAGCCATTGCTTCTTCCATGGTATGAATATAATATGGGTGTTTCGATATAACCATGTCTGCATTCTCATTTATAACAAGTGAATGAATCAACAACAATGGATCAACCACTAATTGCAGCTTTGCGTCTATCCAAATGCTGAATATGGAATTTGGGAACAATCTATGGACCAAGAATTTGGGTATAACTCCATTCATTGCTGGATTTTGGTACAAGTTTTGGCTTGAAACCTTCACGATTCTCCATGCACCTATCTTGTCTTCACTCGACTGTGTTGAATTTAGTAGTCCATAGTGTCTAAGCTCCTTGAGAGTAACCTCATCTATGAACATGAAGAAACATACATACTCCATTGTTTTTGACCCAAGGCCTCTTGGCTGCCGGATTTTGTCATGGTCATTGAAGATTGCTGAAACTACAACTACTCCGTCGCATTTTTCCATGGCAATTCGATCTGAATAAGGAGACCAGAACGTCAATGTTCAGTTTAGAATCAAAATAACTTCATGACCTACACAATGAGAATGAATTCTGGAAACAATAATATTCCAAATCAGTCAGGTTCAAAAGCAATTCACAACTAGCATAATTCCGCCTAACAGAACGATTTCAACTTTGAATTGTGAAGTTTTTTTAATGTTGGAGACACAGCAAATTCCCAGTAAATCAGTATTTTGGTGTGTCACTGATTTTAAGGACTAAAGCCATGATGTCACTGATTTTAAATCAAAATTCAGGAACCAGTTATTCAATAGAATTCAGACATGATGGAACGAAAAACTGACGGAAGAAAAAATAGGAGAATTCAGACGTTTTAACGAGGAACTTACCAGAATAACTTACTGGGAAATCTTTCAGAAAACCACAGGGGACTACGGTATCATGGCCTTGATGATCGAAATAGGAAAACCTCACATGTGTACTGAAATTCCCTCCAAAGCTATCCGCATTACCCTGCATATACCTTAGAACCCGCGAGGAAGACGGAGTGTTGTTGCGGTAATTGTCGATTACCTTCAGAACACCCCGGTAATCTGAATTCCAAAAAAAAAAAAACAGAATCCATCAACCCAAATCCACCATGTCAATCACGAGAGAAAAGGGGGGAAATCATGGTCCATACCAGAAAACTTAATTGGAGAAGAGCAGGTAGAACGGGTGGTTGGAATAGCATACTTGTGCTCTCCATAAGATGAAGGGTAGGAATACAGGAAAGTCAATATAGGATCAGAGGAAAGAGAAGACGACGAGAAGCGACATTGTTTGGATTGAGAGAAAGTGAAGTAAAGAGAGGCAAAGAGAAAGAGCAGAGCGAAACAGAGGAGCTTTGATTGGAAGACAAAGAAGAGAGGTTTGAAGGAGGAGGTGGGTGTAATTGGGTTCCCCATGATGAAGCAATTGAGTTTCTGGGGAATTGCTGAATCTGATATGGTTTGATTTTCATTTCAGGCTCTGGAGTGATTTCTAGAAAGTAGTTGAAGACGATTATTGATCTTGATGGATGATGAAAAAAGGACACAGATTGTTGAAGCTTTCAGTTACTCGTGAATTTTCACAAGGCGGGTTGCGTTTGTCACCCAGACGAAAGTGGGACCCTCCTGCAAGCCTAATACCAAACCGAACTTTTGGACTAGTCTGGAATACCGTGAGTGAAGAATTAAAGAAGAATATTGTTATACTATATCATTTTTATATTTTTACTGTCCATTTTTTTATGGGCTTTTGAGGTATGACTCATGTTATATTAAAAGAACAAGCCAAACAACAGTTTAAATCAAATCAAACAAACAATATGATATTTATTATATTTTATATTATAATTAATTTATTACATTTATAAATAATATATTATTATATATTAATAATTAATTTATTATAAATTTTTAAATTTTTAATGATACTTTTAAACTACTCATCATATCAATATTGTTCTTAAATTAATTAAATCAAAATAATGTCATTCTTGCTGTTTAAACATCCATTATTCTAGCTAGTGGGACTTGCTTTTTATAAGTTAAGGTGCAACTTTACCTCTAAACTATTCTCAGAGGAGTAATATTGTCTTTACCGTTTAAAAATTATAAAATTAAATAAAAATAAAGTTATAATAATATTAAATTATAAATATAAAATTATAATCATGTAAAATAAAAATAATATTAAATGTATACACAAAATAAATATAAAAAATATTTATAATATGTAATAAAATATCATAGATTAATAATATTATAAATTATAATTTTACAACTTATCAAATATAAGTGAATCTTAGTTAAGTTAGATATAAGTAGCCTTAAAAATATATATTTTGCACCTATAATTATTGATCGGAGCTCTCATTAGTGACTTGATTTGGACCAAAAAATCATTTTCATTATTGAGCTACATTAGACAAGAGTTAAGCCACTATGAAGTCATAAACTAAAGTTGAATTAGAAAATAGAGCGGTTTTTAAAAAATTAAACAGTTTTAAACATAATATTAAAAAAAGCTTAAAAACTTTAAAAAAAATAGGAAAAAAATTTAAAAATTTGATCATACTAAAAGTCAACTTTATTTTTGAACAATTCACATGTATAAAATATAATTTAAGATCATTTTTGTATAAAAATGTTGATAGTTATAGGTGTAAATGTAAATACTTTTGAATTTACTCATATCTAATTTAATCACGATTTATTTATATTTGACAAATTATAAAATTACAATTTATATTTTTTCTTATATTTATTTATATATACATTTAATATTATTTTTATTTTATATTATTACAACTTTATATTTATATATACATTTAATATTATTTTATTTAATATTATCATAATTTTATTTTTGTTTAATTTTATGATTGTTAAATAGGTAATATTACTTCTCTAAAATAGTTTAGGGATAAAATTATACCTTAACTCATAAAAAGAGGGTCCTACTAGTTACAACAACGAACGTTTATTTAATTTAGTGTGTGTTTGGTTTCAATTTGTCAAAAATTTATTTATTGAAAGTTTATTTAGTAAAAATTAGTTTAATAAAAGTCAATTATTGTAACGAAATTTATATTTAGACGTATTTTTTTAAAAATTAATTTGGTAAATTAAAAGTTGTTTGAATTATGATAGTAAATATACTTTTAAATGTATGATTACCAAAAAAAATATTGATTTATGGTGATTTATAATTTTTATTATACAAATATAATATATTTTAAATATTTAAAAAATATGATAAATATTTTAAATAATATAAAATTTGATTTATAATGCTAAAAACTTGATCTTCAATTATTTATATTTTTCTAATTTGTAAATTTAAAAAATATGACAAAGATTTATAATTTTTATTGTACATTAGTGTTAAAAATTAACATAATTAATTATTCAATTTACAATATTAAAAATTAATATCTAATTATTATTATTTAAATAATAATTATATTTTAATGAATTAAATATTTTTTTAAATAAAATGATAAGAGAGTAAAATAGCATCCACATTTCAAACCCACATTTAAATCCACCAAAAAGTAAAGTTTTAAAATCCACATTTCAATCCCATTTTAACTCACTTTTTGAAAGTCATTTTACTCCCTAAAAAATTACCCAAAAAACTTTTAACATGTAAAAAGTCTAAAAATCCATCTCAAATGTTAAATATAATGAGAGAAACCAAATGCACCCTTAATTAGTTTAGAGGTAATATTGTTATGATGAATAAATTAGAGACAACATTGCTTTTTTGAGAATAGTTTAAGAAAAACATTACACCTTAACCCTATCATTTTTATAATTTGTAACATCCATTTTTTATGGGCTTTTGAGGTATAACTCATGTTATATTAAAATACTAAACCAAACAAACAATTTAATATTTATTTTATTTTATTTTGCATCATGATCAATATATTACATTTATCAATGATATATTGTTGTATATCATTGATAAACCTATTGTAAATTTTTAATGATAACCACTTGTATACTAATGTGAATAGGCTGTACTCCTAAATTTTAAAAATTAAATTAATATTTTTTGAGTATAAATTTTTTTAGCTTGTAAATCTATTTATCCTTTATTTATTTATTATTCATTTAATGGTGTAAAGTATTTTTAATTAAATTATATTTTAATAAATTATTTAATTATCCTTAAAATGATATCATATTTAATCTGTAACATCCCAATTTAAATTTTAATAGTTAATTTTTGGTAAATAGAATTTTTAAAAAATATTTAGAGGTAAGCAAATTAGTAGGAGATGATTATTAAATCTAACTTAGGATATAATTCTAAATTAAAAAAAAATAATAATAAAAAATATTATTATTAAAATATTATTATTATTATTATTATTATAATAATAAAAAAAGGTATGAGAAAGAAGGAAAGAAGAAGAGAACAAAATGGCTTTCGGTGCTCTTCCCCGGTGCAATGATTATATTTATATAATAATAATAAAAAAAGAAGAAGAGAGAGGAAATAATTTAAAAAAAAATGTGGGACCCACTGAATTTTTATAAAAACTCACCTGTTCCTTCATTTCTTCATTCTTTCTTTCGTGCGTGAGCTGAGGCAGAGAGAGCATTTGTGAGCCAAGTTCACCGGTGCTGGGTTTTAAGGTAAGAGTTTTTAATAGGATATTTTAGGGTGTGATTTTAAGCTTTTCAAAACTAAGTAAGTATTCTAAAATTTTTTTCTTAGTCATCCTTCTTCTTTAGTTTTTGAGTTTGTAGTGGTAGAAAATTTAAGATCTAGAAGAGGGATGAATTTATGTTGAATAAATATGATCTTTAAGGTTGTCAGTAGTATAATAAATGTTCTAGAGTATAAATTTATTGATGATCTTTAAATTTGTGGCTTATGGATCAAATTCTAAACTAGATCTGAAAATATATGTTGATTTATTGAGGTTTAGATGATTATTTGGGATGAGAAATGAATTATTATGGTTATAGGATTATGATTCTAAGCTAGAGACTCAATTTTAATTTTTGGGTATTTTAGGTACGAATTTATGAAATAAAAAAAAATTTTGATAATAGAAATTAGTTTAGAAGCTAATTTTTTAGATTATTAATGTTTATTGATAATTAAAAGAGGATTTAAAAATTTTACTTAATAGTTTTAACTCTAAATTTGTATTAAGATTGAGATTAGAAATTATGTTATATTTTTAATTCTATTATTAGAATTATTTTATTAGTTTCAAAAATTGAAACTAATATTTATAAATAATATGTTATTTGTAGATTGTATTACTGGTGAAGATTGTGGTGAGAGAGAAATTTTAAGGAATAATTTATTGAAAAAGCCACAAGGTAACCATGCTTTTAATTTGTGATTAGTGTTACTTCATGTTAATTGGGTGATTATTGAGAAAATTATGAATTTTGTAATATTGTATAATTGTGCAATATTATTATGAATTTGTTTGATTATTGTGGGAGGTGTTGGGAGACTTGCTATTATTGTTGTATTTATGTGCCACGTGGTACGCCCCTATTGGAGCTCAATAGGTGGCTTGTAAGGGCTCGAGCTAATCTACCTTTGGCCGGGTAATTTAGCACCGAGTAAGGGCTACGGCTCGAGGTTAATGGAGGGATATAAGGATGGTTGTTTGTGTGTATTGTAATATTTTTTATATTTGTTGGAATTATATTATTTTTAATTCTCACTTAGTAAGCACACACTTAACTGTTTGTATACACTATCATAAATTGGCTTTGGTTACTGGGTCTTTTGAGTCTCATTATGTGGTTAATAATTTTCAGGAGAAGAGCCACGAGTGACACGTGGAAGAGTCCCAGAGGCTTAGTGATATAGATCCACTGTCTCTTTTGGGTATTTAATTTATGATTTATAATGTGTTATATTGCCAATATTAGGCCTTTTTTGTTTATTGTCAATTATATGAATATATAAATGTAATCATGCCTTTCAAACTATTTCTATTTTTGGTACAATTTGGATGACTGTAATTTTAATATTTGGTTTATTTTGGATTGGTTAAAATGGCATGATTATAAGGCCAAATAACTGGCTTGTGTTGAAAATTGACTAAATTGCTTATTTTACTTGTTGGGAGTATAAGGATGGACAAATGTAATTTAATTTACTTGTTGGGAGTATAAGGATGGACAAATGTGATTTAGCCTAATGGCATGTGGGAGGTAACAATTTATCTGAAATGTTATAGTGTGTAAGTTGAAACCAATTATAAAATATTTTATATTAAAATTATTGATATAAAAATGTGTTGGGTGACTGTAACCCAACTATGGTTGAGTTAAATTATTTAAAAAAAAAATTTGATGTGTTACATAATCGGTGTTTCACTTAAAGGTTAATTGATGAATAATTAATGATATATTTATTAAGAGCATCTTTTTTAAAAAATCATTAATTATAAATTAAAAAATTAAAAATATATTATAATATTTGACAATTAAATTTAAAAATGTATTATATTTTTAAATAGATAAAATATTTTTTAAAATAAATGAAATTTTTAATCCAGTTTAAATTTTATAGTAACTTCAAAAAAATTCTTCTTGAGGATAATTATTCC